TGTAAACAGAGTAAGAGGTTGATTTATATTCATACTTATAACTGCTGTAAAAAATTCACGTCACCTTTTGAATCTTTTTTTTCCTTTGATTTCTTGTGCACTTTTTCCTTTGCTTTTTTTCCCCACTCTAAATACTAGTCTTGTTAGTTTTTTTCTGTTTTCAAAATTCTTATAAAGTTAATATAAAAGAAATACATCTTTAGATCATCATCAAAATACTCTACCCCAGCACCTGTGAAGGCCTTTGATGGGCTTTTCAATATTGGAATAATTTTTGTAAGTAAATGAACAGCAAATCTTTTTTATGTTAGAATGTAATGTAGAATGCCACAGGCTCTTTATAAAAGAAAAAAAAATGGGAACAGGAATTTCATTTCCCCATGCTCCACCCAAGTCAATTACAATGTTTTCAATAAATTTCTTAAATTGCCTCCCTGCTTTTAATTTCTACTATCTATCTACTGAAAAACAGAATATCAATTTTCTTCTCTTTATTGTTTACAATTATTTACTTACTTCTTACTTACTTGTAGACTGCTCATTTATGGAGCCTCTGGATGGGTAATAACATCAGGATAAAATAAAATATCCCAAGTACATGTTTTTAAAAAATGAAAAGCTAAGAAACATAGAATTGCCACACATCTGCAAACTCTACCTTAGGTTATACCAGTGTTTTTCAACCTTTTTTGTGCAAAGGCACACTTTTTTCATGAAAAAAATCACGAGGCACACCACCATTAGAAAATGTTAAAAAAATTTAACTCTGTGCCTATATTGACCATAGGCGGGTGTTTTTCCCACGGCACACCTTACACTATGTCACGGCACACTGGTGTGCCACGGCACAGTGGTTGAAAAACACTGGGTTATACCATACCCTCCTCCCCCTCCCCCTCTGCAAGATGAACCAGGTAAAGCTTCCACAAGCTTTGGAGTCCAAGAGGAACAAAACTGGCTATCTATCAAGTGGGACTTCCAAAGAACAGTTAGTCAAAACACATGGATTTGAGACCCCATCAGGGATGGGATTTGGAGAGTTGACCTTACCTGATCTTGTTACACAAACAGATCCAATATAGAAGAAAGGTCCTTAGATTAGTATGTCCAGATCTACAGAGCTTTAAAGGGACAGCTGGTTCCTTGAATCATACTCAGAAGTTAATTGGAGATCAATGTAGTTCCCAGTGCAATGGGGTCACCCAAGTACATAGGGATGTACCTTTTACTGCTACATTGTGTAACTGCTGCACTTCAAGGGCAGCTCTATGAAGAATGTTGCAGTTATTCAAACAGAAGGTGCTACAACATGAGTGATGTGTGCAGCGCCTCCCAATCCAGGATAGTCACAAACGGCACCCAAGATGTAGTTGTGCAAAAGCCTTCTAGCTTGAGCTGTCACTCTGTCATCAAGCAGCAGCTGTGGATTTATAACCCCTAAATTGGGCCCCTACACCCCATTCAGAGTCAAAGATAGAATTTCTCAGGAATCATTGGGTTCGGAAACTCAATATTTACAGAATTTAGGTTCTATTCAGCCAGTGCCAGCGGCTTCCATCACTGTGTCAAATAGTTACTACCTGGCCTTCACACTTAACTGCTCACCTTCAGTTATTCTTTGAACTGAAAACATCATAGATCATATCAATAACCTGTAAGTTTTCACTAGTTCCAAGAAAGATTATCCTTCAGCGCTAACACAATTCCATATCTATAATGCATTCAGGCGAAGCAAGCAATCCAGAGGTTTACGTCACATAGCATTTGGTAGGAATCAAATCAATGATCATAGAGTTAAAATGTATTTCTAAGCCAAATTTAAGAAAGTATGAATTACACAAAGCATTACTTGGCACTATTCATTGTTTACTAATTTTCAGTATACTGGAATGGCATTCAATAAATTATGTCTTGAAGTTGACTTATTTGAGCTATATAGCTATGATATACTAAATAGTATAGTTCTAAGTTCTTTACAGTTGTACAGAAATACATATAACACACAAGCCTAAAACTAGTTTTGGCTCCTAGTGTCAAACTACTACTTTTGTATTATATCTGTGGTGGCGCAATGGTTGCAAGCTAACTCTGCCAACTGCCAGGAATTTGATCCTGACAAGTTCAAGGTTGACTCCGCTTTCTATCCTTCCGAGATCAGTAAAATGAAGACCCAGATTGTTAGGGGCAATATGCTGACTCTGCAAACCACTTAGAGAGGGCTGTAAAGAACTTTAGGGCAGTATTCAATCTACACCTCTCCAGCTTGCATTAAAAAACAGAAATTGGATGGTCTGGAATTTTGTTGTCATTACTGCTAGACATATGGTACCCTAACAGAGGATACAACTAATGAATTCCATTCTGTAACATAATAAAACAAATAATTTATTAGTTATATCTTTGTTGCTTGTTTGTTTCTGAGTGAACATGGTTCTGTGATCTGTAAATCTCAGAAGATATGCATTCTGAGATTTCTGTATCGGCCCAAATATGTTCATGAAGATAGACTAGCAAAGCACGATTCAGAAGTATGGCCCAAATTACAAGGATCCATAAAGACTTTCCAAAGGGCAAAAATCATTTAATCGTGTGAAATCTGATACAAACATTTAAATTTGTTGTGCAAATTCATACCAGTTGTATGTGTTATATTTTACTTCCGCATCATGTTTTGTATATTTCAAATGCATTGCATAAAGATTGCAATTTACATTTATATGATTACTGCAGAAGAATTTAACAACATGAATTAACAAGTAAGAAGCACCATCTTCCCCAAAGCCCCTTGGCTGTGGATTATGTCTTTATGAGCCTCTGCCACTTTCTCCAGTGGGTATTCGGGGCCCACTGCTGGTTTCAGCCATCCAGCTTCAGTCCCTGCGAGAATTGCCATTGCACATTCGTGCATCTCTTCCTAAACAAAGAACATTTAAAATTAAGCATTTAAAAAGGACATTACCTTTATGATTTGACACTGCAGGAAATATCAGTATTAATCTACTTTGTCCCACTGAAGCCTTAAAAAACCAAGATCTAGCCATTCCCAGGCTCCTGGACAGGAAGTAAATGTAAAGTTTCCTCCAAATGGAAATGGTAACACTATGTAGCTAAATCAGTGTTCCCTTTCCTTGGCCATTTGAAGATATGTGGACTTCAGCTTCCAGAATTCCTCAGTAAGGCTGTCTGGGGAACTCTGGGAGTTGAAATCCACATATCCTCAAGTGATCAAGGTTGGAAAACACTGGGAAAAATGAATGACACAACAGAACAGAAGCTTGGAGGTTAAAGAAACTTCCAAAATTCTCCATAGGGAAGCAATCCAGAGGTGGGTTCCTACTGGTTCGGACGAGTAGGTAGTAACTCGGCTTGTCACATCCCCGAACTGGTTCTATCGGTGGCGGTGCCACCTTAATTTTTGGTTCTACGCATGTACAGAACAATCTTCATTGCAAATATTTAATTTTTCCCCTCTTCTAATGTGCGCATGTGCAGACCTTTTTAGTTGCAAATGCACACATGCGCAGAGCATGCGTTTGGCATGTGTGTGAGTGAAGCTAGCATGCACATGCAAAAAAATTTGCATGCTGAACCAGCAGTAATGCCGGTAGCAACCCACCCCTGAAGCAATCATCTGAGATTGTGTAACCAAAAAGAGAAACAGCTCAGCTTAACCTATTATCATGCCACATCATTTTAGTTT